TTTTTTTCTATTTGTGAAAATTTCTACGTAATTCAAAGGTAATTTTTATTATATATCTTACACAGCATTATTAATATGATTTTGGATGATACAGAACTTTAAAATTACTTTAAAAAATGAAAAATAATTATATCATTTAATTTCAAGATATTTTGTATACCTTAAAAATAATTAATTCTATCCCGGGAAACAGTTCACTTTTATCCCAGAATCCCAGGACAAGCAAAAGACTGGGAAATGAGAAACCCTAATTGCTATTATTTAACTGTTAAATTGGAAACCCAATAATTTTTTAAATTATTTATTTCAAATTAAATATATGTTTTAATATAGGTTTATGGTGGAATGAGAGGAATGAGAAGTTTAGTTACTGAAACATCGCATTTAGATCCAGAAGATGGAATAGAATTCAGAGATTTCACAATTCCACAAATCAGAAAATTACTTCCAAAACCACCTGGTGGAGGTGAACCTTTACCTGAAGGTCTTTTCTGGTTGTTACTTACTGAAGACATTCCTACACCTGAACAAGTGAGTATTAAAAGATAAATTAAATTTTAAATTGTAAATAAAAATAACAATAATACAGATGGAATAAGAAGCATTTTTAATTCTGTGAAAGACTAATACTTAAGATTAAGTATCAAAATTTGTAGTTTAATTAATTCTTTAAAAACTTGAGAAAAGCTCCCTCCAAAATTTTAAAACTCTTTTTAACATTTCTTAAATGGCAATTTCATCACAGAATCCATGATAAAATTGAATTTTGTCTTTAGTAGTATAAATTTTTTTCATGTTTCTTTTGATGTATTCATGCATTTTTAGCTCCTGTATTTTTCCATGTGTCTTTGGAATATAACACAATACTAGTGTTTACTATGCCAGAATTATAAAACAGGACACAGTTTCAAAAAACAAATTAGTAATAATATAATATTGAAGTGGGGTTGATGGAAAAAATTTCTTAAAAGGAGTCAATATACAAAAAAAGTCTGGAACCCTTGTATTAAAGTTGCAAAGCCTGTAGTCTGATGTAACTGAGCTTGCCTAAAGAAATTTAGGCATATGGGTCAAAAATAAAAACTATATTGTGTACACCTAATTGAAAATAGGCATGAAAAATGAACAAAAAATATTGAGGCAATTGCTTTGTTCTTGGATTGCCTTTCCATGTTGGCAAGTGCAAGGATCATGTCTCCCATGGCCAGCAGGTACAAGGATAGTCTCTTTTGTGGTGGCAAGTGCAAAGTTCACCTGGCTGTGTCTATCAGGTACAAAGATTGCCCCTTCTATGCCTAATAAGTACTGGGATCACTTCTTTCTTTCAGGCTCCGCCTCAATTATATCACAATATGACAGTGGCACAATGTCCTAGTTTTAATATATTTTGTATTCTTTTACTATTTTATAACACAAAATATATCATTATTAATTCTGATTTTATGAAGCTAAATGTTTCATAAATCAGATTACTCCAGGGTCATTGTTTTGATTTGATTCATTTTATCCTGTTGATCTTTAGTTTCTAATGCTTCTAAATTTTTAACTTTGTCTTTGAAATCAATTAAATTTTGTTATACTGATTTAGATTTAGTATCAAAATTTTTATATATAGTCTACCATTATTGTTATGAAATAATAGAACCATTTTACATTCCCACTTTTATATCTAATTTGAATCTGTTATTTAAATCTTTATGAATAAATGTAGTCGACTGACCTTTCTGTATGTATTTATTATTTACCATGTCTTTTCTTTACATTTTCTTTTAGTTCACCAGTGGCTGAGTGCATAAAACCATCAAACACTGNTAATTCAAAGGTAATTTTTATTATATATCTTACACAGCATTATTAATATGATTTTGGATGATACAGAACTTTAAAATTACTTTAAAAAATGAAAAATAATTATATCATTTAATTTCAAGATATTTTGTATACCTTAAAAATAATTAATTCTATCCCGGGAAACAGTTCACTTTTATCCCAGAATCCCAGGACAAGCAAAAGACTGGGAAATGAGAAACCCTAATTGCTATTATTTAACTGTTAAATTGGAAACCCAATAATTTTTTAAATTATTTATTTCAAATTAAATATATGTTTTAATATAGGTTTATGGTGGAATGAGAGGAATGAGAAGTTTAGTTACTGAAACATCGCATTTAGATCCAGAAGATGGAATAGAATTCAGAGATTTCACAATTCCACAAATCAGAAAATTACTTCCAAAACCACCTGGTGGAGGTGAACCTTTACCTGAAGGTCTTTTCTGGTTGTTACTTACTGAAGACATTCCTACACCTGAACAAGTGAGTATTAAAAGATAAATTAAATTTTAAATTGTAAATAAAAATAACAATAATACAGATGGAATAAGAAGCATTTTTAATTCTGTGAAAGACTAATACTTAAGATTAAGTATCAAAATTTGTAGTTTAATTAATTCTTTAAAAACTTGAGAAAAGCTCCCTCCAAAATTTTAAAACTCTTTTTAACATTTCTTAAATGGCAATTTCATCACAGAATCCATGATAAAATTGAATTTTGTCTTTAGTATAAATTTTTTTCATGTTTCTTTTGATGTATTCATGCATTTTTAGCTCCTGTATTTTTAATATTAAATTTATTATAATGTATGCTATTAAAATTATTTTAATTATAACAAAGTTTTAAATAATTCAAATAATGTAGTGATTTTTGTATAAAATATTTAAAATATTCAAATGAATTTTTATTTTTGACAGCTGTCAGAGGATTCTGGTATGTTCAAATATAATATAAACAAAGATTAACTTCTTTTCTAGAATTTAGATAACATTTTGTTTCTTTATTTGATTTTTAACAATTTTAAGAAATAGCTATTTAATTACTAAAAATTTGACTTATAACTTATTACTCTATATAATCTATACTAATATTATAAAGAGGTAAAGTTTGTAAGTTTGGATGTAGGAGGTAATCTCTGAAACTACTCATCCGATTTCAAAAATTCTTTCACCAATATTTAGAATGGAACTTCAGGATGGACATAGGCTGTATATTATTCTGTCTGAGTACGACCACCTAAGTTTGCTTTTCTGTAAGGATGAACTAAAAATGAACCCAGATCATCTTCTATCTATCTATATAAATAAAAATGTAATGTTCGTTTGTTCCTAGTGATTCCTTTGAAATTTTGACACAACGCTGCATTCGAATACGTACGTGTTTCTATATAATATACATGTCGAAATTCCCCCCACTGGGGGGAGAGGGACAGAATTAAGGCTTATCGTGAATAACTCTGCTTCTATTTATACTATTTTAGATGGGGTTTTTTGCATTTTTGTTTGCGTTTTAATAGGGTATGTAAAGAGAATGTATACTAAGAAAAGATTTTTTGAAAAATTCCCCCCACAGGGGAAGTACTATACATTTATAATAGATACATTTTGAGCCACAACAATGCATGGCAGGGTCTGCTAGTCTTAAATATCGTTAAAATTGAAACAAAAATAGTGGGAAGTACGGAAAGTGCCTGACTGATACTGTATACACAAGTCACAACCTATCGATGTAACAGACTGAAGAGGGGCAAAAGCCCAAAACATGTATCTGTATGAATTAAAAGTGGATGATGAAATTATTTGCCAAGTGTCGATAAATGCACCAAGTTGTGACATACAATTAGAAGAAACGAGAAGAAGAAGACCCGGTTTCGACAAATAAATGAAACAAAAATACTAAGCTATTTTAAAAAATGTTATTAATATTTTTATTTCCTACTTACTTTCAAGATTGCTTTGAAATATAATTGTTCTCTTGAAATATGTCATTTTAAATTGTTACAGATTGTTCTAAAAAGAATTACTTTTTTTATGATTTGAGTGATTTCTTAAGCTTTGCAAATACCTCTGTAAAATACAAACGAACAATTCTAAGCAAAGATATGTAAATAAAATATAAATTTTATTTTATTAAGAGAGGATTATCAAAAGAAAAATAACAAAATTTGCTGACCCCATGATGGAAGCAATTATTCAATGTCTATAATCACCAACTAACAAAACCATGCATAGTTTTCAAAACTGTTTGATGTTTCTGTACCAGTGTTTTAATTTTTTTTCCTCTTTGTGTATTCTTAAAAAGAACAAATGTTGAATCTCTGAATTTTCTTTTCTTGTCAAATTTTATGAAATTATCATCAGAGATACCTAATGTTGCTCAGGTGAAAAGTTATAAGAACAAACATTAAAATTAAAATTATTAGAGGGACTGGAAAGTAATGTTGTTTCTGCACATGTCAATATTTGTTTATCATNATTAAGAGAGGATTATCAAAAGAAAAATAACAAAATTTGCTGACCCCATGATGGAAGCAATTATTCAATGTCTATAATCACCAACTAACAAAACCATGCATAGTTTTCAAAACTGTTTGATGTTTCTGTACCAGTGTTTTAATTTTTTTTCCTCTTTGTGTATTCTTAAAAAGAACAAATGTTGAATCTCTGAATTTTCTTTTCTTGTCAAATTTTATGAAATTATCATCAGAGATACCTAATGTTGCTCAGGTGAAAAGTTATAAGAACAAACATTAAAATTAAAATTATTAGAGGGACTGGAAAGTAATGTTGTTTCTGCACATGTCAATATTTGTTTATCATTTATCAGTTCATTGTGTACTTCAAAACTGTGCCAAAGACAATTTAAAGGGTAAAGTGACTTGTTTATTTTGCAAAAAAAAAAATTTAAGATTTAATTATTTACGTTTTGGGTGAAATGGCCAGCCAAATACCAGAACAGGTACATATTCGGCATTGTATGTTTTTTGAATTTCACAAAGGTAGTAATACAACAGTTGTTACCAAAAACATATGTTATGTTTATTGTGCATTATACCAAGTGCATTAGACATACCAAGTGCATTAGACATACCAAGTTCAGATCCAGTAATTTTGATCTTTCCAACTTGTATCGATCAGGAAACCAACAACTTTAGACAATGACGTGTTAAGAGCAGAAGTGGAAGCAAATCAATGTGATACAATCCAGGAACTTTCAATCACTCTTAACCAACCTTAATAGACCATCCAAGAACATTTTCAATAGATTGGTAAAGTATGCAGAGCAGGTGTTTGGGTCCCGCATAATCTGTCCGAAGAAAACAAAGGTAACTGATCCACCACATGCAACATATTGCTTTAACGGCACAATACAGAAGCTTTTTTTTGATTGCTTGATCACTGGATGATGATAAAATGAGTCCTCTATGATAATCCCTCTATGATAAACAAAAGGCAGTGGCTCTCTCCGAATGAATTGCCACAAAGTACTGCTAAGCCAGGTTTACATCCAAAAAGGTGCTTTTGTGTTAAAGTTAATAAATAATTCTCAGCAAGATAAGGTGGTGTTGTGAAATTAAGAAGCATCTAGCTGGGTATTAATTATGATATAATCATAATTTTAATTCATGGACTTAAAAATAAAATCACAGAATATTGATTTTCTTTGTTATAATTATGTATTTATTATCTTTAATTCGTATAAATTGATAAAATGTAATTGTTTCAAATTATTATTTTTAGTTTTTATTTTGCTGTATTCTAATTAAAAACAATTTTCTTTAGGTTAGGTCAGTTTCAAGAACATGGGCAGAACGTGCTGATGTACCTTCTCATGTTGTGACCATGCTGAATAATTTTCCAGCGCATCTCCATCCAATGTCACAGTTTAGTGCAGCTATTACAGCCTGTAATACAGAAAGTGTTTTTGCAAAGGCTTATGCTGATGGTGTCCCAAAAGCTGTTTATTGGGAGGTAAGTCTAAATAAATAAAACAGATTTAATCTCAGAAAAAATTTGTAAAACAAAATTTAACAAATCACATATATAGTATTTTAGTTGCTGTTTTTTTTTTATTAAGAATTAAAAATGTTTTTCTACTCTCATAAAATGTCTTTAGTGTTAAAAATCACAATTGAATCCAAAAGACAGTTTAAATTAAATTTAATAGTATATCTCTGTTTGGATCTCCTTTATTTTTTATCTTTGACTTGGTGATGTAACAAAGTAAAATGATTTTAGAGCCATTTTTCATAACGTGGAAAAATTGTTGCAGGTTATATCTAGCAGTCTATAATCTGCACTCTTTAACAAGTAAGACAGAAGACTTTTAACACGTGATCATGTGAATTCTAGACTGTAAATTTGGGTGTATCAAATAAATGTGATAAAATCAGAAGATAGACTGTTAAGTAATGACAAAAAATATCTGAGGGAGAAAAGTTTTGATAAATCTGTAATTGTAGAAAAAATCGAAAAGTAGAAGAACCTTACATGGGAGTAGAAGATAGAAATTTATTTTCTGTTTTCAGAATTGCATTCTAAACATTGAATAATTGTGGAGTGTTTACATTTAAGAGGTTTAAATAAAAAACTTGTTATTACCTTTTGGACTGATTCTGTCTTAATAAGATTTTATTTATTCACAATTTATCTGCTTGTGAGTTCATAATATGTATGAGGTTTTGGAATAAGTTTAGTTTAGCACTTTTAATGTTCTAATTTTGGTTTTAATTATTTTTTACTAAAAAAACATTCATTGATGACAATCACAGAGGCTCAAAAGTACTCTGACTTATTAGATTTTAATTACCGACAGTATACTGGATTTACAGTACATAGTAAAGGTAAACACATTAAAACATCTAAACCAGTAACAAAAAAGAATTTTAATGTAAAGATATAAAAACAAGTGTTATTTCCATCATATTAAATGGTATCTTCAGGTTTCTTAAGTGGAACATAAAATAGAATAGGTATTTAAAAAATAGAATACATATTTGAATTAAAATGAACCAAAAAAATGTAAAGGCAATGTAAGACAGGTACATGTGAGAGGAGTCTTGCACATGTGCAATGCAGAAGGTGAGACAAGTTGTAAAAGTAATTAAAATACATTAAGAAAATTATAGAAAAATTATGTATTTTAATTACTTTTACATCTTGTCTCACCTTCTGCATTGCATATGTGCAAGATTCCTCTCACATGTACCTGTCTTACATTGCCTTTACATTTTTTTGGTTCATTTTAATTCAAATATGTATTCTATTTTTTAAATACCTATTCTATTTTTTGTTCCACTTAAGAAACCTGAAGATACCATTTAATATGGTAGATATATTTGTTTTTTTATAATATTTTTACATTAAAATTCTTTGTTGTTGATTTTGATGTTTTAGTGCATTTGTTAGATTTTATTTTTTAGATTAATTTAAAATCTAAATTAAAATCTAGATTTTAATGTTAATTTAGCTCTCTAATAAAGCAGGATTTCACTAATAATAGAAATTAGAGATTAGTCTTGGCTTTACTGTAAATTAAATTTAAAACTAAGCATAATTTTATGTACATCTTAAAAGATGTACATAATTTTATCTTTTAAGATGTACATAAAATTATGCTTAGTTTTAAATTTAATTTAGAGTAAAGCCATAACTAATCTCAAGCTTAGTTTTAAATTTAATTTAGTCAAAATGAAAATTTCACTCAAATATTCACCTTGTTGTTAAATGAAATCTAAACATTTTAAAAAATTTTATTATATTGTATACATTTACAATTGTTTAATATATAAAATGAATGAATTAATAAAGAAACTTATAAATTTTTATTTTTTATTTATTGACAGTATGTTTATGAAGATGCTATGAATCTTATTGCAAAATTAACTCCTATTGCTGCAATCATATATCGAAATTTATATAGAGATGGTAGCAGCATAGGTGCCTTAGATGTAAATAAAGATTGGTCTGCCAATTTTGCTTCAATGCTTGGTTATGATGATTCTGATTTCACAGATCTGATTCGTTTGTACTTAACCATTCACAGGTAATATAAAAATTTTTTAATGTCCTTTGTAAGTTAAAAAAAAAATGGATTATTATTCATAATATCTAGCATAACAAATCTTTTAACATAATTTCATTTATTAAGTTCAACTGTATGACATACAGTTGAACTTGTATATCACAAATCTCACAGGAATGAGAAAAAAATTCAATGTAGACAGGTTTCAAGATATGGAGGTAACTACACAATAAACAGTAATAGAGTTGATTGGAAGTATGATATTTTATTAATACAATAGCAGGTACAGTACATACTTGTATTAAGTATAAATAAAACATTTTTGACATACCTTAATAGAAATAATTTGTCAATAGTTTTTGATACAAGACTTTCTTTGACTAATAACACAAGCCAAACTCATAGCCAATTACAGAAAAGCAGTGTTAATTATAACTATATTGCAAGAAATGTTTCTCAACTACAATTTATGCTATTAAAATATAGTCACCAAGCTTTGAATTTGTAATTGCCACTTCAGTCCATAATTTGAGAAATAAAGATTTTGGAGAAAATTTTGAGATAGACAGTTCAACTGTATATACACAAATATAACTGAAAAAGTTTCTTTAATGCTCTAAAGAAATTGTAGAAGGAAACAGAAAGAATTGATTACATTGCTGAATTATAAAAATTCTTCATGATTTGTATTTTCTTGCAGATTTCATATCCAGTTAGATTTCTATTTTTTTTTTTTTTTTTTAACATAAAATATCTGTGAAAATAAAATATGGAGAACTTGCTTTCAAATACAGTTTTTATACTTGTTTACCTGTTTTGTACAAAATTTTTATTTTATTCATATGTAAGGATTCAAAAATTTTATCTATTTAACAACAAAAATTGCTAAAGGTGTACAGATTTAATGAGTAACTCAATGTTTCATCAATACAGATTAATACAATGTAGAAACATTTGTATCAAATACATTTATTCCTTAAAAATTATTGATTATTTTTCTCAAGTACTAAAATAAAGCAGACTTATAAGCCTCTAGATATAATTTTCCAAAAGCTGTTTATTGGGAGGTAAGTCTAAATAAATAAAACAGATTTAATCTCAGAAAAAATTTGTAAAACAAAATTTAACAAATCACATATATAGTATNATAAATACTAAAAACTACAGAAAACACATACTCAAAGATACAACACTCACAGATGACACATGCAGAAAATGTCACATCATGCCAGAAACTATACAGCACATCACTTCTGGGTGCAAGCTCTTGGCACAGATTATTTACACAGACATAATCAAGTAGCAAATATAATACACCAATAGCTTGCAAAGAAACACAAATTATTAGACATTCACGAACCATACTACAAATACATTCCACAGACAGTATTGGAAAACAACACAAACTGTACTAGGACAGAGCCATAATCACAGATAAAACAATTTACCACAACAGACCAGACATCACACTCATTGACAAACACAATAAAATCACATACATTATAGACATAGCCATTCCAAACACTCACAATGTACAAAAACACATGCAGTGAAAAAATCAGTAAGTACACAGAACTTGCCCAGGAAATAAGGCATCTGTGGAGGAAGGAAAGGGTGCTTATTGTACCTGTTGTTCTCTCCTGTACAGGTGTGATACTACACACACTACACAAAAGCCTGGGAACATTACAATTGAATAGAAATACATACATCACACTACAAAAGGCCACTATATTGAATACATGCCATATTGTTAGGAAATTCCTGAATATAGACACTGACACACTTATTTAATTTTAGTTTTTTGGTTGCTATGCCTTGACTCTAGTCCGGCATAGTACACAGCCACCGGTGTGAACCGAGTATAACCCACTAAACACAATAATAACGAAGTTTAGTAATTATAATTATTAAGTTATATGGTCAGAAAGGGTAAGTGTACTCATGGGATAACTGCACCTGTCCATAATATCTCATCAGCCAATAAAAATTAAGCTGATAACAATACATTGATTTATAGCTCATAGGTAGTATTTGACAGTATTCAAGCTGGTTTTAACATGGCTACTTCTATGATTACAACAGTTATATGAAAAGGTTTGATAAGTTTGGTCTTTTCTTCTGACAGATTGCAAGTAGGTAATTTTTGTACTTAAAATCTAGTATTTGTGATTTTAAGAAACGATAATTAGATGACTATTATAGAATGATAGTTTACATATACTTTTGAGTTATGAAGTATTTTTTTTTCATCCACATGCTTTGTTACCACAGGCCAAGGTGAATTTATCCTTTGAAATTTTGATCATTGAGCTAAGTGCATCAGTTGTGTTGTACATATATAATACTCCTCAAGATAAGTCTGTGTGTAGCAGAGGAAAACACCATACTAGCAGTTGATTATTCCATCATTGTGAAAGTCTCAGCAAAATCAAGTGTCCACTATTGTTGGACAAGTTGCCATCATCAATTTTGATAAACACGGAAAAGTTTATGTACCTTGTCAAGAAGAAATCTGTGTAAATATTGTGGAAAAAGACTTGTTTTCTAATGCCCAGAAGTGGAAGATTATTGCAAACATTCCTTTCCAAGACATTGTCAAGTTTCTTGGTAAAATGTGTTATGTTGGAAGACTTGGTTTAATCATTTTTTGTTGTAGGTCTTACTGTAACTTTCTGTAAGGTGGTTCAAAAGTTGTCCTAAACTGTCTTTTCAACAGAAAGTAATTTCATCTTGTTTTTTAAATCATTTACATTTCTGTTGTAACTAGTGTTGTAAATTACAATAAATAACACTGATGTTACTGTTGCCTTTTAGTATGTCATCATTATTTCATTTTCCATGTCCATACTTTCAGTGGAGTGTACTGAAATCTGTATATAAACAAAAGGTTACTGTCACAGTTTTGGCACACTTACTCAGCATTTGATTTTATTTGAATTATCCTAGCTATTCAGAGGTAGAGTAGATTACAATAATCTTTATTTCACTGGCTGAAACTTTCAACTTCTAATTGAAGATGCACTTATTCCATCTGACCTTACATTTTGAAATTGGTTTTAAGAAGTCCTTTTAATGCCATTCAATAAAATCTTAATGTTGTTGATCTATTATTATTATTATTAAAGTGATTACTATAAGTGGAATCTACTGTATCTTGGTTACATCATGCTAAATTTTACATAAACAAAATAATAAATTGAATACTGATTAAACTATGTTTCAGAAGTATTATTTATTAAGAAAATTTGTTTTAACAGTTTCATTATTCATTTGAGGAGCAATATGGTAGTTTTCATGTGCATTAATTAGTAAAATAATTCATAATATTTTAAAAATTAGTTTTTTTGTAAACGGAAAAAATTAACATATTAAATATTTCATAATTATAATTTCTTTCAGTGATCACGAAGGAGGAAATGTGAGTGCACATGCAACACATCTTGTTGGTAGTGCTCTAACTGACCCATATTTATCATTTTCTGCTGGAATGAATGGTTTAGCTGGACCATTGCATGGATTAGCTAATCAAGTAAGAAAAAACATTACATGAAGTATGTATATAGTTTATAGTAATGTTTCATTAATGATCATTTCTGTCAATACAATAATTTTTAATTACATATATGTAATTATCAAATTATGATACAAAATACCCAAGATATAGAAATTTTTTACAGAAGAGTTAACTAACTCTTCTGTAAAAATAAATAAATAAATAAATAGAATATATATATATTTTATATAATATTTATTTATTTATTTATTTATTTTTAAATTCTATATTAGTTGTTGAAAATTTTTCTTATCATTTTGAATTATAATAGTTTTGAAGTTAAAATTATAATTGTAAATAAAGACCAAATAAACTGTTTCAATAACTTGACTATTGTTTAGCTACTTTTATGGATGCATATAACAATTTATTGATATTGTTTTTATTACTTAAACATCAAAATATCACAATTTAATTTAAAATAATACAGATAATTAGTGGCATTATTTCTGGTTTTAATTATACAGTATAATTAAATTTCTAATTGACTCATAATAATTGACATAGACTAAGAATTAAAAATTTTTAAAACAGCAAGACAATAAGATGCGCTGTTAGGATGTACATCATATCTTTTTCAAACCTTCACATTTCAAAACATTTATTTAGCGCCCTTTAGTGAATCTCTACATGTATGAACATGATCAAGCCTGTATTCAATTTATTGCCAAGTTCTTTCCAACATGTCCATTGTCACAAGAACTTGCATCCATGATATGATTGTTACTAACATATTGATGTCATCCACTTTAGTCACATATATGCAGTCCTTCTAGTGCCCCATAAAAGAAATCCAGCAGGGTAATATCTAGGAAATGTATTGACCAGAAAATGGGTCCATCACATCCAATCCAGCAATTAGAAAATTGTTAGTTAAGAACTTGTAAACATCTATAGTCCAGTGGGAAAGTGCCATCTTGCTGAAAGATAATTCTGAGTTGTAAATCATCACACTGAGGATACATGAAAAGTTGAAAAATGTCAAGATACATGCACCATTCATGGTTTTTCCAGCAAAGAATGGTCTGATTATCCTATCTTTCATTAGCTCACAGCAAACATTCCAGTTTCAGATTATCCCAAACATGTTCCATGATAGAATGCAGATTTTGCAAGCCCCAAACTAAGCATTATGGCAATTGACTAGTACTGAAAAATTAAATGCTGCTGCATCTGAGAACAATGTTTTCAAGAAAGTCTGTATTCATTTTGATATGATGCAGCATCTCTGTAGTGAACTCCTGTTGGCGTGACTTGTCATCTGGCTTGAATTCTTGCAAAAATTTCATTTGTATCCTTACAAATTTCAGCCTTTTGTGTACTACACAATGTAATGGTGATTATGGCACATTAAATTGTTTTGATTGTTGTCAAATTGACTTGCATGGGCTTATGAGAAACCCTTTTGAATCTACTCCACTTTTTTTTTCAGAAACACTAAGACATTCACATCCAGGGTTTCAATACTCTTCTGGTAGCCAGGAACTTATGGAACCATGCCTTAATTGTTTTCACATTACTGGATCAGTTCCATACACTATTTGGTAATTTCTTTGATCTGTAGTCAATTTTTTTCCACAAACCACACTACCACTTGCACCTTCTGCTGTGGAGTTGCCATTTTACTTTAATTTACTGTAATGCTTCCTGGTGGACAAAACACAAACTTTTTACATGAACAGAAATTCTTTAAGTTGCTGTTTCATCAGGTATGAATCACAATCCATCATTCTTCATAATGTTTTTACCATGATTGATTGACATAGAAGGTTTGAAAGGGACATAACTGTATATCAAAGAAATATGATCAAAGTGGAGGAGGATATGCTATCAAGCAATGGCTAAAAAACTGGTAAAACTGAAAAAATGTTTCAATGAATTTGATTATAGGAAAAATCTAGATAGGAAAGAGAAATTTAAAAATTTTGCATTGGATTAGGAAAAGAGGAAGAATTTTTTTTTTTTAATTTTAAAACTTTAAAAGAACTTTTAGTGGAATATTTGACAAATACATTTCTGAACTGCATTATAAATATTAAACTTTCAAAAAACTATATTCTTAAGAGGGATTTTGTGTAAAAGAAATGTTGAAGATGATAGTAGTTTCACAATTTGGCTTCTTATGAATTCAGAATTTTCAAGGGGCTGTGAAATAAGAGGCTGTTTTTATTCCTTATCATTTGGAACTGGAAAATTGTATGACTAACTGCATCTTCATTTAAATTTATTTTACAACATTTGAGAAACAGTTCATTAATAATTTCTCAATAAAAGTTCTATGAAAATGACTCCATTGCATGTCTCTTATAAGTTTTCTTTTTCTGTAAACTTTGCATAAACATAGAATCTGCAAAGAATTATTTATTAATGGATTATTGTTGATAGTATGTGTAGGAGTTCTTAAAGTACTAAAAAAAAGTCAGTATTTCATAGGTCTACAAGGTTATGATATTTAAATTTCAAGAAATTATTTATCTCGAGTTAAAAATTGGAAAATTTAGTAATTGTAAAATTTCAATGATAAGAAAATATACATGGAAAATATACAGAAAAATAGCATATGCAAAATTGTGCATATGATTTGAGTATTGTGCATTACATGTAAATTTTAAGTTAGTGGTTATCATAAACCAATAGATCTTTATTTTGGTTCCAATAATCATATCCCCAGAAACCCTAGGGAAAAGAAAAATTATCTCCAGAACCCTGATAGAAAAAAAATTACAATTGTAAAGCTGTTCATCTCCAAACAGTAAAAATTCATTTTTAGAAAATCACTTATGGCTGCTGCTATTTTCGTTGTGAATTTGTCTCTTTAATCCGATTTTCAGTTCGGTACTGTATATGATAGTCTACTGAACTGAAAATCGGATTAAAGAGACAAATTCACAAATTCATTTTTGTTTTAATCAGCTTTTTTTATAAAGTTTTGAGAAGACATGAAAAGTACAGCTTCTTGACATGTTGCCAATGCATTAAAAAATTGTGGGTTTTAGCACACAAACATAAATGTAAATCTTGAGCAAAGTGCAAAAATAAACTTAACTATATTAAATGGAATGCAACTTTGCACTTCATTCAAAGGTTTGCTTTTTTGTTGTCCTAAAACCGAGAATTTTCTTGATTCATTGACAAAACTATGACAAGATGGTGTACTTTTCATGCTCTTTCTTCTCAAAACTTTATAAAGAAAGCTGATTGAAAAGCTGATAAAAATTTTTTTTACTATTTTAGTCTATTTGGATAACAAACAACAACAAAGCAAATTTTCTGATTACAATCTATGAGTTCTGGAAATAATTCTTCTTTTTCCTAAGATTCCTGGGATACAAAATAAAAGCTCTTTGTCAATTTTAAATAACTGCTATGTCAAAATTTGCATGTACTAAATCATATTCAAAGATGCACAGTTTTCCATGTATATTATCTACTTTACTCTCTATTTCTTTTTTCCTGTGAATACATGGGAAAAAGTGGAGCTCCCAGGGAGGTCAAGGGGCCCCTGGCCTCCATGGGTGCACCATTTCTTGAAAGAAAAAGGAAAACAAACAGGAAAATATTTTTGGAAATTTTTCTAATTAGAATTCATGTTTTTATTTGTATTGTGGTGTCTTCTATTTCTACACAAATTTATGAGTTAGCAATCACATAAGGGAAAATATTTAATTTGCATAAAAATTTTTATCTATTCAACTGTGCTCCCCAAGAGTAAATCCTGAGTATGACATTGATGGGAAGTATGGTAAGGGAAGATCAAGAAAGTCTTGATTAGAACAAGTGGATGAGTATCTGAAAGAATGTTAAGGTGTTGAGTCAGAGAGAGAATATGAAGAAGTGTACCAGGAGAGGCATGAATATGTCTGAAGCAAAAAAGATGTCTCTGACAGGAAGCTGTAGAGAAAGTTGCATGGATGACTTTTAGGATTGTAGTCTCCTTTAGCTTTTTGCTCACCCTTTTTGGATCACAAGCTTGAAGATATGTATGTTCAATCAAATTTAACTATCTTTTAACAACATTTTTGCACTTTGTCTGAAACTTACAACATATTCGAAACTATTTTTAGGTTTAGCCCAGAGATTTGCAGGTCCAACAATCCACTTTGACTACCGTGCCCATCACAGAAAAAATCCCAAGAGATTCATTACAATCTGATTTTTTAAAAATTTTTACCATGCAAACAGGATGTCAAAATATCATATGTTAGAAGTGAAATAGTTCAATGATGACTCCGAATATATTTTTCTTCAATATTTTAAATTTGACATTTAAGACTATATTTAAAATATATAAACATTTTTGAGTCTATCTTTTAATCCTTTAACACAACTACAGAAGTTAGTTATATTGGTTTGAAGAAAAACTTCATTAAAAGACAAACAATAAAATGTAAAAATTTACAAAGTTAAAAATGATCAAATGTCAGCCTTTTATTGAAGGATCTGACGTTTTTACATTAAAAACTAAAAATAAATATTCTCATCAACTATCAAGTCCTTTGACAATTTATAACTTGTGTTAAAGGATTAAAAGATAGACTCAAATGTTTATATATTTTTGTAAATAGTCTTAAACTTCAAATTTAAAATATTGTAGTGAAATAGTGTTGAAAGTATTAAAGCATCAGTATATATGAATAATTATTTTATAAAAAATGTAAATACTCATTATAATTATGATGATTACAGTTTTATTTAATCAGTAGCTTAAACTAGATTAATAAGTACATATTTAATTTAGCTTCAATTTGAATCATTAATATATGTTTGATATAAATGTCAATTATTATAAAAACAAAGTATTCAAATTAAATATTATCATCTTTGTATAGGAAGTACTAGTTTGGTTAACAAAATTACAAAAAGATTTAGGACTTAATACCACAGATGATGATGTACGGGATTTTGTTTGGAAAACGTTAAAAGCTGGACAGGTAAATTATATTATTTTTTTTGTTGTTTAAATTAAGATTGATTAAAGTAAATGTTCTAGAAGTTCCTTCTTTAAATTTAAACTCCATTTTAATGCATTTATATTGTATAATAATAATAATAATTACAGAGCATCGATTATCCGATCCCCGATCAACCGTCACATCAGTTAACCGACCACGTTCTAGTCGGCAAATTCAAATGTCTGCTAGTGAAGTGGCGCTACAATATTTGGCTATGTCTTGGCTACTTTAATATTATTTTTGTTAAATTTTTGCTGTTTTAGCTGGCAACAGTAGCTCGACCATGAAAGGGAGGCCAGTATTTAAATGAGGCTTAATTTTCTAATTATGAGTGGTGGTTTGTTTTGTGAGCAATAAAATAATTTTTAAAAAAATTTTTGTTAGGCTTAACATAGACAAAAATTCAACGCAAAGTAGGTTAATAGCAATATACTAACATACTAATTACATGGGATATACTAATATACTATACTAATAAATGTATTTTTTTCATACTTTTCGGTTATCCGACCAACCCCAGTCCCCAATTGAATTGGATAATCGATGCTCTACTGTATTTAGAATAAAATTCTATATTTTTAAGTTAATTATACACAAGCTTCCATGACTTCTTTTTCCATTAGCTTTTTATCTGAAACTATTTTTTTTCTTTTTAGTAAAATTAAATTCTTAATTGCAAATAGTTAGACTTTGGCATTAATTTTTATACCAAACAATTGCATAAAAATCAGTGTTCTAACACAGATTTATTTCATAAAATAACAAATTCATTTTCATTCAAATAATTCCATCAGTTTTTTTAATTTCAGGAAAGTTTGACAAAAAGATTATAATATGCAACATTTTAAGACATTCCATTAGTAATTGCTCAAGTAAAGTTTACTGAAAGTGACACCATTGCATGTCTCTAAATTTTCTTTCTATATTAATAATTATATTTACAAGAAAATTTTTCACTAGCAACTTTTTTAATACTTGGACAGTGAATACTGCTATAAATTTTTTATAACATAATGAACATCCAATAAGAAGTGTTACTGAAAGTAAAAACTCCAGCAATGAGTGGTGTGTAACTTTTCCAGCTGTTATAAAAATTATTCTTATTATAAAAATGGCAATTTTCAATTTGATATGTTAATTTTGAGGATAGAGATGAATTTTATAAAAAATTGTAAATGCTAATAGAATTATTTTTACTAAATCTAACCCCTATGGAAATATGATCCCTATCTCCCACCCCCTCAACTTATGATAGCATTAATGATCCTTATACACAAGCTACCATGACAAATTTCATTTCTTAATCATTACCCCATCCTGATATTTTATAAAAAAAATAGACACCAAATAACACTATTTTTGTTCAGGGAGTCTTAAAATATGAAGATTTGCAAAAAACTAAGGGTCAAATTTGACAAAATTCCATTACTTCCCTAGAACTTTTAGCATTGTATTGTACTGTACATACCATAGAAACCAAACTCTTCATGCAACTGGAAACCACTATATCTGTCAACTGTAACACTGTGAAATCAGATTTTCAGTATGTTATGTAGATAAATTAACATTGTTAGGTAATCTTTAATGCATAATGCTTGATGTATTCAAAACAAATTTATGGATTATCTGAAATACCTCTGGTCCCATCTAGTTCAGATAATCAAGTTTCCATTGTATTTGTTAATTTTAGTAGAAATGAAAACTGAGCAGCATTTTCAATGCATATGATTGTATATATATATATTTACATTTAGATTTAATTATTAATAAATATGGCAAGTTATTTAATCAAATTCTTACAATGATTTAATTTCTGTATTAAACTTTCATTAAAATTTTGTTTAATATATAAAGTTTTATCAATAAAAATATATGTAATTATATTGAAAATAATTTGAATAGAAAAAATTACTGATTATTTTTTTTCAACTGATATTAGGTTGTTCCTGGTTATGGACATGCTGTCTTACGAAGAACTGATCCAAGATACATTGTTCAGAGAGATTTTGCCTTGAAACATCTACCAGAAGACCCATTATTTAAACTTGTTTCTCAGTTGTATAAAATTGTTCCACAAATATTGTTGGAATTAGGTAAAGTAAAGAATCCATGGCCAAATGTTGATGCTCACAGTGGAGTTCTTTTACAGGTAATTATTTGTATATAAATGTATAATGAAATTATTAATAGTATATGTAGTAATTTTATTTAGTTTAGATTAATATACTACATGAAATGTGTATTATAGAATAATGCTAATCTTACTCTTTTAATATCAATGGATAATTTGAGATAATTATTTTGAATCTATTTAAACTAGAATACTATTTTGAGAGTTTGTCATTTTAACAATCATTGTATATAAAAATGAATTTGGCAGTTAATTGATACTAGATTATGATAACAATGAAATAAATATTCAACTTTTCTATCATATTTGCTACTAATAATTATAATTAAGTAATGACCAGTTTTATAAAACTAATTGGTAACCCAGTAGTATGAAACTATTGTTTCTTTGCATAAAAGTTGTTATTTGTAACTTTTTTCACACATCATAATCTTAGAAAATTAATTTTCTAATTAGTAATTTAATTTTAAATAATTTTGTATTAATTTTACTTTTGACCATGAATTTTCTTTAAATTTATTAACAAAAAATATAATTCTACAATACACAAGTATTTTATCTGGGTCATTTAAAAACAACAATTCAAACACCATCTGGTAAAAAATAGAAATAGGTCATCCTATATGTGCAAGTGAAGGATGTTATAGGGTTCACAAAAATTATTGCAAAAACCTATGGTTTTGAAGCAGTGAAAAATAATAAAAACCTCATCTAATATGCAAGTAAATACAGTTAATATTTATAAACTGTTAGATAATTTTGATCATTTGTATAAAAAACATCGAACTTATCAGTTTTAGATATGAAATTTTGCAATTAATAGAATCTTATTACTTAACTACAATATTATATCTATTTACTATATACTTTTTTTAGTACTTACCTTGTTCTTTTTTTTTTAGTATTATGGAATGAAAGAAATGCAATATTATACTGTGCTATTTGGAGTTTCTAGAGCTCTGGGTGTAATGGCATCACTGATATGGGATAGAGCCCTTGGACTGCCAATTGAAAGGCCAAAATCTATGACTACAGATGATCTAATGAAACTAGTGGGAGCAATTTAAGCACATTCTAATAATTAATACAACATAATTCTTTCCATTAAAATATATTGGAGGTAAATTTAATTAAAAATATAATTTTGGTTGTATATGTATTTTGTAATTTTTGTATATACTTAACAAATCAATGTTTTTTTATGCATCAGATATATCACCTTTATAAATAAATTCATGGAAAAATAAAGCATTTCTTATTACTAGTTATTTTAATCCAAAATATGCAATTTTTTGTGAATAATCACAAAGTGAAAGAAATCTTGTATATAACATTTGTCCCATCTGTATTTACAAATTTAATGAACATAAAGTAAATTGTTGCAACTACATTTTTTTTCTATTATAGTGTAACTTAAAAGTTTGTCAAAGTAAAACATTTTCTGGTATACCATATATCTACCCAATAAATACAGATTAAGTGAAAGTAGTGTAGTCCAACAGATTTTGTTTTTTCTTAACTGTTTTATATGTGATTTACTGCTACTACTGAAAATTCATATTACTGTTTATATGAACAACTTCCTCCTAAGTTGCAAATATCTTGAAATATAAAATTTAACTGAGGCATTTACCAGTTTGTCATTTATGTTAAAATTTTGCAATATAGTATTAATTGATACAGTATGATGATAATCACCACAATGATATTTAAGGCAAAAGGCAAAATCACTTATGCATTTAGTCATATTTGGAATATTCTAACCATGTCTATAAAGTTCAACAGTTAAAGGAGAGTCTTTTAATGATTCACTTAATGAAATGGTTAAGCACTTTTGATACAATAGCAGCTGTTAATGTTAAAAAAATTTTTATTTATGCTTTTTACACATGAAACAGCATTTTTGAATTTTTTTTATTGCAGTGGTAATTTTATTTTCATTGCTTGATTTCACATATAATGTACTGTACCATACATATCCAGAATGTTAGGTCTTGTCAAGTTCTAAAAGCTTATAAACTGACATTGACCCTACTTGCCAGAAAGCAACTCAAACTTAGTTTTTTTACACTTCCCTTAAGACCTCAGCTCAAAACCTAATAAATTTCACTAAAAAAAAAAATGTCGTTGTATAATGAAAACACTTAAGGAGTAACTTTGTTGAATCATTGGACTTCCTGATGCCCCAACCCACTGTTGACTGCAGGAAAATTGAGCAAGAGCCCTTGCCAGTTTTTTTTTTTTTATAAAACTTTGAACATCTTGGTTGAATGTTTGCATGTATTAATTGTATGTAATATCTTATCACAACGTTTAATAAATAATTACACAAATTGGATTCTTTATCTAAGAAATTTATTTGCAATTTTAAACATTGATATAACAAATTTTCAAACTGCCCAAGTAGAGTCAGATGTCAACAATATTTAGTAACCTGAAATAGTAAAAACAAATAATAATGTTTTAATATAATGAAGTGAAAAGCATGAATTACAACTAATTTGTGATTTATATTAAAGAAATAACTCACCAAACAAAAACTTTTGTAATAGTACTTCTTGCATAAATCAATTGGAGATTTAAACATGACTATTTGAAACTGCATCGGATCAAACAGGAAGATAAATCCAATAATCAATAAAACTAGAAAAAGAAAAAAAAACATTTTTTCCTCTAATAGAAAAAAATTTATAATACAATTTTAAAACAAAAAAAAAATCAGTAAATTCATTTATCACCATTGTGGTTCAGCCAGGGATAACATGGTCATCATTAAGTAATGATTTCAAACAAATTTATGATCACTTCACGTAAGGAAGGAATCTTGCAGTATATTTAAAGATGCTGTGATTTTATTTAAGATGCGAGTTTACATTATTAGTAATTTTTAAAACTGTTTGCAACATTCTTTTTTTTATTACTGTTTCAATTTAAGGTTTAGATTCATGAGAGAACAATAGAAATGGTTTATAGATTGTGCACAGTATGGCAAAATACTTCATTAATCAGAACAAAATTGAGTGTTTATGTTGAAAAATTATGAAAATAATGTGAAAAGTCTCTTATCGAGATGTTTACCAATCTGTTCTTAAATTAAACTCACTCTCCTTTATATCAGAAGGAATTTGATGTGCTTTCTAACACCCTTTTGCTAGTCTGTCTATACTGAGCATTTACTTATTATATTCATCATATTACATCAAACAGTGGAAGCAAGAATACACAAGTTATCTACTGGAATCAGTGCCAATCCCACACAAAAGGCTTTGAAATAAAAAACGACATCTATCTTCAGATGATGATAATACAGAGAACTTACAGGTTCCCTCTATTCAGTATGGTTCTTGTTTCAAAGGATGTTTTTCTCTATTATTCTGAAATCACGTCCAATGAAATTCATCATGCATCATGTAGTGGGACTTATCCCAATTTCCATCACATGATGATGTCAGAACTTTGAGTCTTAACTGCAGATCACTTCCCTTGATAGTGAAACTCACCAGAACAAAAGGAAGTTCCTTTTCCCTTGCTAGTGAAGTTTCAAAAAGTAACATAATGTTTTATAAAATTAAGTTTTTAACATCAAAATCAATTTAAAATAATCCTCAGTTCTCACAATAAGAGTCATTTCATATTGGATATTTTATTGGTGTGCCTTCCTCATGCTAACACTTGAGTTAAAAAAACAAATCTAAATCAAATTTTGATTCAATCAACTGCCATTAAATCTAGCATAAGGCTTTGAAAATAATGTAAGTGTAGTAAATTCATTATCTTTAAACAAATCTGCTTATTAAAAATGTAAGACAATTTTGTAGGGAGAAAATACAGTTAGTCTTTTATATCTTAAATTTATCATTTAGTCTTAACAGAAAATTATTTGCAATAGTTTTTATGCAGGTATTAATAGTAAGTTTCTATACAATTTTGAGATATTAGAAAATTTGTCAAGCAGAATAAGAAGTCAGCGTATACCATTTTTAAAAACAAAACAAGTTAACATTCATCAGTTTGGATAGTACTCTAATTTTATAGTAGTGTAACCATACAATAACAAATACTGTAATTTTAAGTGGATGATTCATATAGCATATAAAGATTGTTTGAGAGTATCTTCTGAAAACTTTCATTTCTAACATTCTATTTTATGATTTTACAATGAACTGCTAAGTGGAACAGAAAATAGTATTTCAGATAATCTCAACTTGGTGTTTAAAAAAATGGCCACTGAAGTATAACTGATCCACAAGCTATTCAAATGAAATTACAGTAACATATTAAACTGACCAATTTTCATCTCATTTTGTTTCTGGCTCTTTATATTTAGACATTGTTTTAAGTAATTCGACTGACTGACTTAAGAGAAAAATTATATAACATGAAACCACTATTTTCCAATAAAAGTTTGAAAATAAAGCTCAGATAGAAAGCATGTAGGCATTTCAGTGAATTTCTGAAACATGCATTTGTAAACTCCTGAGACATGGTCGATTTGTCATTTCATGTTAGTGACATTACACCTAAACATTGGAATTACAGTAGAACCTCGATTATCCGCCCTAATTGGGGACTGGGGTTGGTCGGATAATTGAAAAGTCAGATAACCGAAAAGTATGAAAAAATCCATTATTAGTGTAGTATATTATTATATCCCATGTAATTAGTATATCGCTATTAACCTATTTTGCGTTGAATTTTCATCGATGTTAAGCCTAAGAAAAATTTTTTAAAACAATAATCGTCGCTATTGTATCGTTAAAAATTAGAAAATTAAGCTTCGTTTAAATACTGGCTCCCTTTCATGGTCGAATGAGTGTTGCCAGCTAAAACATGTAAAAATAATATTAAAGTAGCCAAGACATAGCCAAATATTGTAGCGCCACATCACTAGCGGACATTTGAAATTTGCCGACTAGGACGGTCGGTTGATCGGGGGGCGGATAATCGAGGTTCTACTGTATTTAGCTACATTTTATGTACTCTAAGTACAGTACAAAGGGTATTCAAAATTCTTTTTACACTGAACTTAAATGACGAAGTGGAAAATAGAAAATATGATAAAGTATATGGGTTTGCAGAAATTAAATTATCCATTTTTGAAAATTAAAGTAAACTTTTTGGATTCTTGTGTTTCACTCATTCAACCTTGAATTCAATGAAATAGACTAAATTAATCATTACAGAACATGTTTGCTTTATTAATTCATTTATTTTTGTGAGATCAGGGGCCATGAGATCCTGCTCACTGTTAACGATTTTTTGATGGGAGACAGACCATAAAATGTTCATCTCAGTCAGGAGCATGACAGCAGTTAAGAATTTAAACATGCGTCTTAACTCGCGTAAAGATCTTATTTTTATACTGAGCGGAAAAGAGGGAGTTGCGATTTGGTGATGAAAGGACCCAATAACTAAATAAATTTTATTTTTGATTTTGTTTTAAATATGTTTAGATTATTTAAGAAAACTAATTATTTTCTCTCTATGTTAAAATTATGTTGATGGATATAAACAAGTTCGAATTTAACAGAGAGAGAGCTTTGAGCATTGACACAGATTTATAGGACTTTGGGAGGACTTGAAAACAGAGAGCACTAAGAGAATACTAAAGAACTGGGTGTTCTGGGCTTTTTATACTTAACTCCTAATGAGGAAGTTTGAAGACATACCATGTTACGGGAACCTGGGATGAGTCATGCCACAAGATGCATCAACCATATCTCAGTCAGATAATTAGCATCACAGGAAATGATCTAATCTTAGAACTTTTGTTTTTGCTCTTTCCCTCATTAACTAAACTTGAAAGTAAAGTAGAATTTAATGACTCTTTTAAACAAACTAACTCTCAACATCTTTTAATAATTAAAATGAAGACCAAAATGAATCTCTTAAATATGGGAAATCATAAAATTAAAAGATGGATTAAGTTTAGGCAGCCTGTCAGCTCAATGACGCTCTCAAAATTGCTATTAGTGGAGAAGCTATAGAACAATCAACAAATATAAAATCAGGTGGTTACATCAAAATGTTAAGAATGTGAGTACACAGTGTTGAATTTTCAATAAACAGACCAAGACCAATCTTGAATGCTCAAGCAGAAAAATTTGCTAGACAATTTGGATGATATGATCTTTTATGCAACAATGGTTGGTTGGATCAATTCAATAACCAACATAACATTTGATACTCTCACTAATTTTTGAATAAACATCTGATCCAGTAACTACAAATGAATGGATTGACTATTTGAACAGAAATGAGAAAAGATTTTAATCACAAAGATATCTGAAATGCCATGAAACTAGACTTTTTAATCTGAGTGCCTACACATTTAAATTCAGAGAAAAAAAATCAGATTTGCTTCATGGTGCTTGTATGTGCAAATATGGTAAGAAAAAGTGATAGTTATTGGAAAATCATTAATACCACGGTGTTTTAAAAATATAAGCAATCTTCCTGTGGAATATACTGTAACCATAAAAGTCTGGATAACTTGAGAGATTTTTTGGCAGTATCTAAGTTATTGAAATAAGGAACAAGCAAAAGGAAAATTTTTTATTGTTATAAGTGTCCTGCACATACCAATTCAAAATTTGTCCAACATCAAGCTAGTGTTTCTGCCTCCCAATGTCAATTTTACAACTGATGGACATGGATGTAAATGAAAGTTTCAAAAGATTTTACAAAATATTTAGTTTTGCATTTAATCAATCAAAATGAACAGAAATTTAATGAGTGTATAACAAATTTATGCCATCCATATAGATAAGTTGATGCATGGAACAATGTTACTTTGACAACTATATCAATTATTAAAAAAAATTCAATGCCAGAGGATAAAACAAAGAATGCAATCTTAATGTTTGTAATGCAACATTATCAATGTCACTATTAAAAATCATTAAATTTTTTAAGTCAAAAGCAATTTGTTAAGTAGTAGTATTCCTACTGAAAATGTTAATTTCAGTAGGAATTTCCATGATGTTAACATGGAAATTCTGCTATAGATGATGGTAATGATGACAAATGTGATATAATTTAAGTGAAATTGAATAAAAATCAGACTGACAATTTTTTGATTCAATTGAAATTCTCTCATTTTTATATATTAGATACAAATTTTATAGGAAAAAAATATTAAACATACATACCATCAATTCAAGGTAATATTCTTAAAATAATCCTGGAAAAAAATTATTAAAAGATGTAGCTTGCATGATAAAAACTCTCAAAAAGATTTTTTATAATTTTTTTTCAGCTACTTTTTTAATCATTGATCATACGAACGAGACAAAAAATCATCATATTTAATCAAAATTTTATTTTATTTTTTAACTTACCAGATCTAAGCTCAAAGATCCAAACTGAAAAGAACCAAGTTACATTTCTTAAATATCTGGAAAAAAATGATGAAATTATTGCAAATTACCTTTCCAAAAATTTTATTCAATTACTTAAACTATTTAATAAGTATTACCTACTATAAATTGTTATAATTATTTAAGATTAAGCACTTTATAGATATTGCTGACAAAGCTAAATGGATAGGATAGATAACCTATTTAAATGAAAGAAAAATGTAAAATATATCCTTTAAAAATTATCACTGGACTGTTTTATGCAATACATGATAAAGTTCAATGCTTACAACATTACATTGTAATTAAAATTTCTCATTCTTATTTGCTCAACAAAAGTTAACACAATTATTCAAATTTTGTACAAAAACAACCACTTATATGTTTAAATGTAGTGCCAAATTTTACTTTTTCTAGTCAATATAAATCTCTACAGAAACAGTAGTTAGTTTCACTATCAAAAATTTGTATTAATGATTTTCAGGGTCAAGGTTATACAATTTAGAGAGTAAGGCTTAATAGGCCATTGAGATCTGAAATTATATTTTGAATTAATTCACTAAGTAAAATTAATTTGCTTTTGTAAATAAATTTAAAGTTTTAATGATTTTCATATCAAACAAAATGAATTATTCATTGTTGAAATGTGGTGCAGAAAATCAGAGCAGTTAAAACAAAGCTTTAACAAAAATGAATAAATTTTTAAAAATATATTAACCTATCCCACATTGAAATTTGTTCAAATCCTGGCATGTCTGTAAGTACCCTCTTGTGGTTGTGCCAGTGCTGCCAGCGAAAACATGCACACCAACAAAAATAATATTGGAGTAGCCCAAGACATAGCCAAAGATTGGAGTGCCGCAGCACTAGAGGAAATTTAAATTTGCCAACTGGAAAGCTTTCGGTTAATTGACGTTTCAGTTGACAGACATTCAAATAATTGATGCTCTACTGTAACTTAATTTTTTCCATTGGTATTTTTTAATCATTTTATGAAGTTATGACACTGTGTTCCATATAATTTTTGTATTTTTTTAATTTTATGAATATAAAAATGCAAGGCGACTGTAATATATAAAGTAAAGAATGTTTGTTTATTAACTCTCATCTAGGCACATATGTATTTAGCAAATACAGTTGACCCCCCTATAACACTGTTGATAATTCCATTTTATATGAATTCCATGTTGTACGAGTCATTTAGATTTTACAAATATGTGTGCTGGGCTGTGAACGGCTCACGTATTTGTAAAATTTAAGTGACTCACACAACATGGAATTCATATAAAACGGAATAATCAACAGCGTTATAGGGGTGACGACTGTACATTTTTGAGAAATTCAATAAAAAGAACTAACAGTTGACGTGCAGAGTTTCTAATATTCCTCAACTTATATGATCTGAAGCAATTCCCACAGTAATTTTCAAATTTATGACCTTTAGATATTTTACGAAAACCAATACCTTACCACCACCTGATAACTATCAGTGTGAGAGCACTATAGTCTCGCAATTATGTGCAACGATTGAATTTTAATAAAATAATGTAGAATATTAAGAGAATTTAAGAGTTTAAGAGAATTACAGCCTAACACTAAATATTTCAATGACACTTTTGTAACTATTTTTGTACACAAAAATTTTCATTTTGCTCAATTACCATCTAACATAAAAATTTAATGTAATCAATGTAGTTCTAGTTTACTCTAATAAAAGGCTATTTTTGAAAACTTAAAAAAAGTTTTATTGAATTTGAAAAAAAACTAGTATTAAATTTAACCAGCTACACATGAAAAGTAACAGAAATATTTTACTAACCACTTTCAATCTACAGATTCCATAGATTCTGGAAAGAAAAATATTAAATCTTTTAAGAAAACTAAGATTATTCAAAATTTATAAATTTTTGAAAAAGATACTTACCTTCAAATATTATTATTTTATCTTCTATTTTTACCACTATCCAATTATTACTTTGTTTTAAAATAATTACATTTTTTCTTAATGATAACTTTAAATATTTTAAATCTCAAAATTTTTTGTTATTTAACAGAATCACTATATTTCTATTTCTGACAGTATTCTTTCGTTAAGTGGTGTTAAACCATTTTTCATCTGGATATTCTGGAAATTAAGTTTTTTTAAAAACTTAAAACATATTTTTATTTTAAAATTTTTTTTACTAAAATAAAAAGATAGTTACCATCCATACCTGCCATTTGTTCTCTTCATCTGTAAAATATACTTTTCTCTCATCATCATATTGAATAAGAATTTCTATTAAAATCCATTCCTCCTTAACCATTTTTATCCCGCTGTATGTTTTATTTCCAAATTTTAAACTGTATTTATTTAAATATTGGGTTTCCAATTTTTCAGGTAATGTGGGCGATTTCATCCTTGTTGAAGAATAGAAAATACAGATATAAAATATAGATAATAAAATATGTAAAAATGGAAGTACAGTAGAGTATCGTTTATCCGAATCAATTGGGGACTGGGGTTGTTCGGAAAATCGATATTTCAGATAACCGATTATGTACAAAAAAATATATTAACCTATCCCATGTTGAAATTTTTCTCCGTTGCATGTCGCTTCACGTTGAATTTTCAATGTTAAACTTTTTAAAATAATAATCGTGACTATTGTATTGTTAAAAATTATTTCTTTATTTTGTACAAACAAAATATATTGAAAAATATAAAAACAATAAAAAATTATACTTCAGAAGTTAACTTAGTATCAAAAATGTAAAGTACTTGAGTAGCCCAAGATATAGCCAAAAATTGCAGTGCCACAGCACTGGCAAAAATTTAATTTGCCAACTGGAATTCTTTCGGATAAACGATGCTCTACTGTATTTGTACTCTAGATTTTTTTTAAAATTAATATTTTTTTTCCCCTTAAAGATTTTAGACGAACTGTCTTATAAATCAACCCCGCTGTGTTAACACACTGAGTTGAATAATTCTTTTTTTAAATTACTATATTAGCATGTGATTGCTTTCCAAGATTATACTTTTCCCATTGCTCCTGCATTTTTTACAATCCAAAGTCAAAAGAAACTTGACACGACCCACTTGATAACATTTGATTTATTAATACAGCTTTCCAAGGTTATCATTGTTTTGTTTTAACCTAAATCAGTGTTTCTCAACAGGGTGATCTCACCCCATGTAGGCATTTTTCCATATTGGGGGAGCGATTAGTAACAATTTTCATTTTGGGGGCAAAAAACAATTTTCTAGCCAATATAGTAAAACATTATATTAAGAATAATTAGATATTTTATTCGTTATATTGTACAATAATTAAATGAACATTATACTAGTGACTAGTGTATTCAATGCAATACGAATTTCAGCCCTCGGCATCAGTTTTGAAGCTTGCAGCGGGGATTCACAGCAAATAATGCTTAAATTTAATTTTGTTCATTATATCAAAATCTAATAGATATTCTGAGTAAATAAATATTTGATAATTATATACTTTGTAAAAATTTAAACTAATAAACCCAACAAAATTGTTTTTTGTAGTGAAAAAGGTGATACTATGTAAAGGTTTTATTGAAGGGGTGACAATTCGATAAGAGGTTGAGAAACACTGACCTACATCAAGTTTATTACTCCCATTTTATTATTACTATAATTATTAGCAAATGATACAAAGGCAAGAGGAGTAGACAAGAATCTTTAGTTTCATTAGTTAGTTCTTTATTGACTTCTCTCTCTCTCTCTACATCTTAATCAAAGCAAAAAAATGTCTAATCTCTCTAAATTTTTGTTTTTTAAATAAGAAAATTAAATTATTAATTTTTTCATAGTTATTCATCTTTTACAGATTCACAATCAATGTAATTGATAATCCATTCACTTCTAAAAAACGAAAATTGCCAAAAAACATACATAACATCAGAAGAAAAAAAAATTATTTAATTATTTTAAAAGACAAAGTCTTATAAATCAATCCCACCCATACTCAGTGTATATATCTCATGAATATAATTTAGAAATTAAAGAATTTCAACAACAGTATTATATATGCATTGCTAAAATGAATACAAAGGAGGAAATTCAAAACAGATTTAATACAAATATTGAATTTTTTAATAAACATATTTTCATAAAATTGTGGAAATTGTAAAAAAAAAAAAAATAAAAAGCAGAAATTAACACCCAGCAAGAGCTGCATGTAACTCAAAGAGCTGAATTTGCCCATGTCTGACATATACTTTAGACTGTTTTAAATTTTTTGAGTTATCACTTTTTAAATTCGTCCTGATCTAGTCTGACAATTTAGTAAATTTGCATTATGACTTTCTAATTTTTAATCAATTTTTTTTCCACATAATTGGTTTAATATTTCAAAAACTAAATAATAATTCTTTACCTGATAAAAAATGTTTTTATGATTTAACTAGAAGTTACATAAGTTCAAAGATTATGATTTAGCTCATCTTTTATGGAAAACTTTTAATTGTAGTAAATTTTCAGACTATTTGCAATTATATCAATTTGTTGATACAATTTTAGTTGCAGATATTTTAATGATAAATTATGAAAATTTGTAAAAGTATTACAATCTTGATCCATTTTTAAATTGTTCAAATCTTACATTTATTGCAGGATTAAAAATAGCTAAAATAAAACTAGAGCTATTTACTGATTTTTACCTGTTACCAGTACCTGTTTATCAAATTTGGTGTTCGAGGATTATCTTTAGTCAGCAAACATTCCTTACATATCTCATACTTATGATAATTCAAAACCTCATAGTTAAAGTGATGATTGATAGCAATACTCTATATGGATTGAGTGTGGTTCAATATCTCCCATATGGTGAATTTTGATGGTTACGACAAACCAAAATCAACAAATTTAATATTAAAAATGTTTCTTCAGAATCTGAAATAGAATACATACTTGAAGTAGATTTAGAATACCCTGTTTTGCTTCACCATTGACATAACGGTTTTCCCCTCGCAGTAAATCACTAAAAAATAGAATACGAAGATTTATCTGAATATCAGAAATAACTTTTATCTCCTTTAAATCTATATTTTAACAATAATATTAAAAAATTAGTTCCAACTAAGATAAATTACGTTGTATTAATTTGTCGATACAATTTAAACTTAAATTATTATCTAAAGGAACTGAAATAAACGAATGAATTATGCCAAGTGTTGATGATTACGCTGCATTGCAGTTTTGAAAAACAAATCTAAAGAAAGGTTTAATTTTTTAAAAAGTCTATAGAATACTTTCTTTTAAACAAGCACCTTACTTAAAACCATATATATTTTTTAATAGTGAAAAACGAAAACATAGCAAGTCAATTTGACAAAAAGTTTTTTAAATTAATGAACTATAGCTTCATGGAAAATGTATGCAAAACGTGTGTAAAAAATTAATTTAAAAGCTGGATTGAACAAAGATCAATGTAAACAATATCTAAACAATCCTGCACTAGAGGGTTTCCAAATAATCAACAGAGTGTAGTGTTTTTAGATTAAAGAGAACAAATTTATTATTGCAATAAACCATTACTACATAGAGACTACTTACTAAGAGCTTTTCTATTTATCATATCAAATACTCTGCCTGGAGTGCCAACAACAACATGCACACCCATTTCCAATTTACAAAGATCTTCTTGCACATTAGTTCCACCAATACAAGCATGACATTGGTCATTCATATAGTCTCCTAAAGCAATTACCACTTTTTGAATCTTAAAAAAAGAGGGGGAAAAAAGATATATATATATTACAATTTTAATGTTATGAGAACATTGTCGTATCTTTGATTGAGAAAAAGTCAACTACATAAAATGACCCTTCTCACCCACAAAAAGATATATTTTTTTATTCTTCCTATGCGACAACCATAACTGTCCTTTATTGAGAGCATGGTGCTTTTGAGGAAGATGTGAGAAATAAAATTTATTAATACCTGTTGAGCCAATTCTCTTGTCGGAGCTAATATTAAAGCTTGACATTCTCTTAGGCTAGTGTCTATTTGTTGTAAAATAGCTACAGAGAAAGTAGCTGTCTTTCCAGTTCCAGACTGTGCCTGAGCAATTACATCTAAACCTAGAGATTATAGTATTTACAATGAATTTTAATTTAACTATATTTCTAAAAATTACATTNATAATATTAAAGTAGCCAAGACATAGCCAAATATTGTAGCGCCACATCACTAGCGGACATTTGAAATTTGCCGACTAGGACGGTCGGTTGATCGGGGGGCGGATAATCGAGGTTCTACTGTATTTAGCTACATTTTATGTACTCTAAGTACAGTACAAAGGGTATTCAAAATTCTTTTTACACTGAACTTAAATGACGAAGTGGAAAATAGAAAATATGATAAAGTATATGGGTTTGCAGAAATTAAATTATCCATTTTTGAAAATTAAAGTAAACTTTTTGGATTCTTGTGTTTCACTCATTCAACCTTGAATTCAATGAAATAGACTAAATTAATCATTACAGAACATGTTTGCTTTATTAATTCATTTATTTTTGTGAGATCAGGGGCCATGAGATCCTGCTCACTGTTAACGATTTTTTGATGGGAGACAGACCATAAAATGTTCATCTCAGTCAGGAGCATGACAGCAGTTAAGAATTTAAACATGCGTCTTAACTCGCGTAAAGATCTTATTTTTATACTGAGCGGAAAAGAGGGAGTTGCGATTTGGTGATGAAAGGACCCAATAACTAAATAAATTTTATTTTTGATTTTGTTTTAAATATGTTTAGATTATTTAAGAAAACTAATTATTTTCTCTCTATGTTAAAATTATGTTGATGGATATAAACAAGTTCGAATTTAACAGAGAGAGAGCTTTGAGCATTGACACAGATTTATAGGACTTTGGGAGGACTTGAAAACAGAGAGCACTAAGAGAATACTAAAGAACTGGGTGTTCTGGGCTTTTTATACTTAACTCCTAATGAGGAAGTTTGAAGACATACCATGTTACGGGAACCTGGGATGAGTCATGCCACAAGATGCATCAACCATATCTCAGTCAGATAATTAGCATCACAGGAAATGATCTAATCTTAGAACTTTTGTTTTTGCTCTTTCCCTCATTAACTAAACTTGAAAGTAAAGTAGAATTTAATGACTCTTTTAAACAAACTAACTCTCAACATCTTTTAATAATTAAAATGAAGACCAAAATGAATCTCTTAAATATGGGAAATCATAAAATTAAAAGATGGATTAAGTTTAGGCAGCCTGTCAGCTCAATGACGCTCTCAAAATTGCTATTAGTGGAGAAGCTATAGAACAATCAACAAATATAAAATCAGGTGGTTACATCAAAATGTTAAGAATGTGAGTACACAGTGTTGAATTTTCAATAAACAGACCAAGACCAATCTTGAATGCTCAAGCAGAAAAATTTGCTAGACAATTTGGATGATATGATCTTTTATGCAACAATGGTTGGTTGGATCAATTCAATAACCAACATAACATTTGATACTCTCACTAATTTTTGAATAAACATCTGATCCAGTAACTACAAATGAATGGATTGACTATTTGAACAGAAATGAGAAAAGATTTTAATCACAAAGATATCTGAAATGCCATGAAACTAGACTTTTTAATCTGAGTGCCTACACATTTAAATTCAGAGAAAAAAAATCAGATTTGCTTCATGGTGCTTGTATGTGCAAATATGGTAAGAAAAAGTGATAGTTATTGGAAAATCATTAATACCACGGTGTTTTAAAAATATAAGCAATCTTCCTGTGGAATATACTGTAACCATAAAAGTCTGGATAACTTGAGAGATTTTTTGGCAGTATCTAAGTTATTGAAATAAGGAACAAGCAAAAGGAAAATTTTTTATTGTTATAAGTGTCCTGCACATACCAATTCAAAATTTGTCCAACATCAAGCTAGTGTTTCTGCCTCCCAATGTCAATTTTACAACTGATGGACATGGATGTAAATGAAAGTTTCAAAAGATTTTACAAAATATTTAGTTTTGCATTTAATCAATCAAAATGAACAGAAATTTAATGAGTGTATAACAAATTTATGCCATCCATATAGATAAGTTGATGCATGGAACAATGTTACTTTGACAACTATATCAATTATTAAAAAAAATTCAATGCCAGAGGATAAAACAAAGAATGCAATCTTAATGTTTGTAATGCAACATTATCAATGTCACTATTAAAAATCATTAAATTTTTTAAGTCAAAAGCAATTTGTTAAGTAGTAGTATTCCTACTGAAAATGTTAATTTCAGTAGGAATTTCCATGATGTTAACATGGAAATTCTGCTATAGATGATGGTAATGATGACAAATGTGATATAATTTAAGTGAAATTGAATAAAAATCAGACTGACAATTTTTTGATTCAATTGAAATTCTCTCATTTTTATATATTAGATACAAATTTTATAGGAAAAAAATATTAAACATACATACCATCAATTCAAGGTAATATTCTTAAAATAATCCTGGAAAAAAATTATTAAAAGATGTAGCTTGCATGATAAAAACTCTCAAAAAGATTTTTTATAATTTTTTTTCAGCTACTTTTTTAATCATTGATCATACGAACGAGACAAAAAATCATCATATTTAATCAAAATTTTATTTTATTTTTTAACTTACCAGATCTAAGCTCAAAGATCCAAACTGAAAAGAACCAAGTTACATTTCTTAAATATCTGGAAAAAAATGATGAAATTATTGCAAATTACCTTTCCAAAAATTTTATTCAATTACTTAAACTATTTAATAAGTATTACCTACTATAAATTGTTATAATTATTTAAGATTAAGCACTTTATAGATATTGCTGACAAAGCTAAATGGATAGGATAGATAACCTATTTAAATGAAAGAAAAATGTAAAATATATCCTTTAAAAATTATCACTGGACTGTTTTATGCAATACATGATAAAGTTCAATGCTTACAACATTACATTGTAATTAAAATTTCTCATTCTTATTTGCTCAACAAAAGTTAACACAATTATTCAAATTTTGTACAAAAACAACCACTTATATGTTTAAATGTAGTGCCAAATTTTACTTTTTCTAGTCAATATAAATCTCTACAGAAACAGTAGTTAGTTTCACTATCAAAAATTTGTATTAATGATTTTCAGGGTCAAGGTTATACAATTTAGAGAGTAAGGCTTAATAGGCCATTGAGATCTGAAATTATATTTTGAATTAATTCACTAAGTAAAATTAATTTGCTTTTGTAAATAAATTTAAAGTTTTAATGATTTTCATATCAAACAAAATGAATTATTCATTGTTGAAATGTGGTGCAGAAAATCAGAGCAGTTAAAACAAAGCTTTAACAAAAATGAATAAATTTTTAAAAATATATTAACCTATCCCACATTGAAATTTGTTCAAATCCTGGCATGTCTGTAAGTACCCTCTTGTGGTTGTGCCAGTGCTGCCAGCGAAAACATGCACACCAACAAAAATAATATTGGAGTAGCCCAAGACATAGCCAAAGATTGGAGTGCCGCAGCACTAGAGGAAATTTAAATTTGCCAACTGGAAAGCTTTCGGTTAATTGACGTTTCAGTTGACAGACATTCAAATAATTGATGCTCTACTGTAACTTAATTTTTTCCATTGGTATTTTTTAATCATTTTATGAAGTTATGACACTGTGTTCCATATAATTTTTGTATTTTTTTAATTTTATGAATATAAAAATGCAAGGCGACTGTAATATATAAAGTAAAGAATGTTTGTTTATTAACTCTCATCTAGGCACATATGTATTTAGCAAATACAGTCGACCCCCCTATAACACTGTTGATAATTCCATTTTATATGAATTCCATGTTGTACGAGTCATTTAGATTTTACAAATATGTGTGCTGGGCTGTGAACGGCTCACGTATTTGTAAAATTTAAGTGACTCACACAACATGGAATTCATATAAAACGGAATAATCAACAGCGTTATAGGGGTGACGACTGTACATTTTTGAGAAATTCAATAAAAAGAACTAACAGTTGACGTGCAGAGTTTCTAATATTCCTCAACTTATATGATCTGAAGCAATTCCCACAGTAATTTTCAAATTTATGACCTTTAGATATTTTACGAAAACCAATACCTTACCACCACCTGATAACTATCAGTGTGAGAGCACTATAGTCTCGCAATTATGTGCAACGATTGAATTTTAATAAAATAATGTAGAATATTAAGAGAATTTAAGAGTTTAAGAGAATTACAGCCTAACACTAAATATTTCAATGACACTTTTGTAACTATTTTTGTACACAAAAATTTTCATTTTGCTCAATTACCATCTAACATAAAAATTTAATGTAATCAATGTAGTTCTAGTTTACTCTAATAAAAGGCTATTTTTGAAAACTTAAAAAAAGTTTTATTGAATTTGAAAAAAAACTAGTATTAAATTTAACCAGCTACACATGAAAAGTAACAGAAATATTTTACTAACCACTTTCAATCTACAGATTCCATAGATTCTGGAAAGAAAAATATTAAATCTTTTAAGAAAACTAAGATTATTCAAAATTTATAAATTTTTGAAAAAGATACTTACCTTCAAATATTATTATTTTATCTTCTATTTTTACCACTATCCAATTATTACTTTGTTTTAAAATAATTACATTTTTTCTTAATGATAACTTTAAATATTTTAAATCTCAAAATTTTTTGTTATTTAACAGAATCACTATATTTCTATTTCTGACAGTATTCTTTCGTTAAGTGGTGTTAAACCATTTTTCATCTGGATATTCTGGAAATTAAGTTTTTTTAAAAACTTAAAACATATTTTTATTTTAAAATTTTTTTTACTAAAATAAAAAGATAGTTACCATCCATACCTGCCATTTGTTCTCTTCATCTGTAAAATATACTTTTCTCTCATCATCATATTGAATAAGAATTTCTATTAAAATCCATTCCTCCTTAACCATTTTTATCCCGCTGTATGTTTTATTTCCAAATTTTAAACTGTATTTATTTAAATATTGGGTTTCCAATTTTTCAGGTAATGTGGGCGATTTCATCCTTGTTGAAGAATAGAAAATACAGATATAAAATATAGATAATAAAATATGTAAAAATGGAAGTACAGTAGAGTATCGTTTATCCGAATCAATTGGGGACTGGGGTTGTTCGGAAAATCGATATTTCAGATAACCGATTATGTACAAAAAAATATATTAACCTATCCCATGTTGAAATTTTTCTCCGTTGCATGTCGCTTCACGTTGAATTTTCAATGTTAAACTTTTTAAAATAATAATCGTGACTATTGTATTGTTAAAAATTATTTCTTTATTTTGTACAAACAAAATATATTGAAAAATATAAAAACAATAAAAAATTATACTTCAGAAGTTAACTTAGTATCAAAAATGTAAAGTACTTGAGTAGCCCAAGATATAGCCAAAAATTGCAGTGCCACAGCACTGGCAAAAATTTAATTTGCCGACTGGAATTCTTTCGGATAAACGATGCTCTACTGTATTTGTACTCTAGATTTTTTTTAAAATTAATATTTTTTTTCCCCTTAAAGATTTTAGACGAACTGTCTTATAAATCAACCCCGCTGTGTTAACACACTGAGTTGAATAATTCTTTTTTTAAATTACTATATTAGCATGTGATTGCTTTCCAAGATTATACTTTTCCCATTGCTCCTGCATTTTTTACAATCCAAAGTCAAAAGAAACTTGACACGACCCACTTGATAACATTTGATTTATTAATACAGCTTTCCAAGGTTATCATTGTTTTGTTTTAACCTAAATCAGTGTTTCTCAACAGGGTGATCTCACCCCATGTAGGCATTTTTCCATATTGGGGGAGCGATTAGTAACAATTTTCATTTTGGGGGCAAAAAACAATTTTCTAGCCAATATAGTAAAACATTATATTAAGAATAATTAGATATTTTATTCGTTATATTGTACAATAATTAAATGAACATTATACTAGTGACTAGTGTATTCAATGCAATACGAATTTCAGCCCTCGGCATCAGTTTTGAAGCTTGCAGCGGGGATTCACAGCAAATAATGCTTAAATTTAATTTTGTTCATTATATCAAAATCTAATAGATATTCTGAGTAAATAAATATTTGATAATTATATACTTTGTAAAAATTTAAACTAATAAACCCAACAAAATTGTTTTTTGTAGTGAAAAAGGTGATACTATGTAAAGGTTTTATTGAAGGGGTGACAATTCGATAAGAGGTTGAGAAACACTGACCTACATCAAGTTTATTACTCCCATTTTATTATTACTATAATTATTAGCAAATGATACAAAGGCAAGAGGAGTAGACAAGAATCTTTAGTTTCATTAGTTAGTTCTTTATTGACTTTTCTCTCTCTCTCTCTCTACATCTTAATCAAAGCAAAAAAATGTCTAATCTCTCTAAATTTTTGTTTTTTAAATAAGAAAATTAAATTATTAATTTTTTCATAGTTATTCATCTTTTACAGATTCACAATCAATGTAATTGATAATCCATTCACTTCTAAAAAACGAAAATTGCCAAAAAACATACATAACATCAGAAGAAAAAAAAATTATTTAATTATTTTAAAAGACAAAGTCTTATAAATCAATCCCACCCATACTCAGTGTATATATCTCATGAATATAATTTAGAAATTAAAGAATTTCAACAACAGTATTATATATGCATTGCTAAAATGAATACAAAGGAGGAAATTCAAAACAGATTTAATACAAATATTGAATTTTTTAATAAACATATTTTCATAAAATTGTGGAAATTGTAAAAAAAAAAAAAATAAAAAGCAGAAATTAACACCCAGCAAGAGCTGCATGTAACTCAAAGAGCTGAATTTGCCCATGTCTGACATATACTTTAGACTGTTTTAAATTTTTTGAGTTATCACTTTTTAAATTCGTCCTGATCTAGTCTGACAATTTAGTAAATTTGCATTATGACTTTCTAATTTTTAATCAATTTTTTTTCCACATAATTGGTTTAATATTTCAAAAACTAAATAATAATTCTTTACCTGATAAAAAATGTTTTTATGATTTAACTAGAAGTTACATAAGTTCAAAGATTATGATTTAGCTCATCTTTTATGGAAAACTTTTAATTGTAGTAAATTTTCAGACTATTTGCAATTATATCAATTTGTTGATACAATTTTAGTTGCAGATATTTTAATGATAAATTATGAAAATTTGTAAAAGTATTACAATCTTGATCCATTTTTAAATTGTTCAAATCTTACATTTATTGCAGGATTAAAAATAGCTAAAATAAAACTAGAGCTATTTACTGATTTTTACCTGTTACCAGTACCTGTTTATCAAATTTGGTGTTCGAGGATTATCTTTAGTCAGCAAACATTCCTTACATATCTCATACTTATGATAATTCAAAACCTCATAGTTAAAGTGATGATTGATAGCAATACTCTATATGGATTGAGTGTGGTTCAATATCTCCCATATGGTGAATTTTGATGGTTACGACAAACCAAAATCAACAAATTTAATATTAAAAATGTTTCTTCAGAATCTGAAATAGAATACATACTTGAAGTAGATTTAGAATACCCTGTTTTGCTTCACCATTGACATAACGGTTTTCCCCTCGCAGTAAATCACTAAAAAATAGAATACGAAGATTTATCTGAATATCAGAAATAACTTTTATCTCCTTTAAATCTATATTTTAACAATAATATTAAAAAATTAGTTCCAACTAAGATAAATTACGTTGTATTAATTTGTCGATACAATTTAAACTTAAATTATTATCTAAAGGAACTGAAATAAACGAATGAATTATGCCAAGTGTTGATGATTACGCTGCATTGCAGTTTTGAAAAACAAATCTAAAGAAAGGTTTAATTTTTTAAAAAGTCTATAGAATACTTTCTTTTAAACAAGCACCTTACTTAAAACCATATATATTTTTTAATAGTGAAAAACGAAAACATAGCAAGTCAATTTGACAAAAAGTTTTTTAAATTAATGAACTATAGCTTCATGGAAAATGTATGCAAAACGTGTGTAAAAAATTAATTTAAAAGCTGGATTGAACAAAGATCAATGTAAACAATATCTAAACAATCCTGCACTAGAGGGTTTCCAAATAATCAACAGAGTGTAGTGTTTTTAGATTAAAGAGAACAAATTTATTATTGCAATAAACCATTACTACATAGAGACTACTTACTAAGAGCTTTTCTATTTATCATATCAAATACTCTGCCTGGAGTGCCAACAACAACATGCACACCCATTTCCAATTTACAAAGATCTTCTTGCACATTAGTTCCACCAATACAAGCATGACATTGGTCATTCATATAGTCTCCTAAAGCAATTACCACTTTTTGAATCTTAAAAAAAGAGGGGGAAAAAAGATATATATATATTACAATTTTAATGTTATGAGAACATTGTCATATCTTTGATTGAGAAAAAGTCAACTACATAAAATGACCCTTCTCACCCACAAAAAGATATATTTTTTTATTCTTCCTATGCGACAACCATAACTGTCCTTTATTGAGAGCATGGTGCTTTTGAGGAAGATGTGAGAAATAAAATTTATTAATACCTGTTGAGCCAATTCTCTTGTTGTAACTAATATTAAAGCTTGGCATTCTCTTAGGCTAGTGTCTATTTGTTGTAAAATAGCTACAGAGAAAGTAGCTGTCTTTCCAGTTCCAGACTGACTGAGCAATTACATTTAAACCTAGAGATTATAGTATTTACAATGAATTTTAATTTAACTATATTTCTAAAAATTACATTTTAATAATTATAGTAAAAAATATAATAAAATTTTCCAACATTTAAATTCACTGATATTTTGAAACAAATTTTAACAGTTCAAATAATAATTAATATTAACAGAAAAATGTCAGTAATCAGTTGAATTCATCCTCTCAAACATATTTCAACTATATTTTTATTCTTGAATTAATTAGCAGCAGTATCTCATTTTCTGTAAACTTGTTTTTTTATAAACCAAAAATTAATTATTATTTCACGCAACTGTTTTCATAAAATACTTTTAGATATGCCCAACAATGCCTGGGCAAAATGTAATAAGGACAAACATTAAAATGGAAACCATATTAAAAAAGTTTGTGACAAATGTAACAATGGGAAGCTAAAATATCCAAAGCATCAAGGAGATATAACAGGGAGGGTAATGATATATTATGGTAGCCTATATTTTCTACAGGCTCCTATAGAATAATTACAAAAAGTTTAGTGCAGACTGGTCAAAGCATTAATTGACAGACATTCTATTTTATATATTGTGTATATACAGTATAATTTTAGAAGCAAATAATTCTAAAACATAAATCAATAAATCTGAAGAAATTAAAAATTACAGTACAAGTAAATTTATAGTACAGTAATACCCCGAACTTACGCGATAGGTGGGACCGAGCGATAACCGCGTAAGTTGAATTCGCGTAAGTCGGGGTATAACTTTGCAATTTGTGTAAAATCCAAGTTGGATGTATGTAAGCTAATAAATGTTCTCGTTAATCTTATCTTGTCTTTTGATTCATTCGTGGTTACAAGAAATCACCACATATTGTCTCGAGTTTCCGTAGATATAACAAACACAGAAATAAATAACACAAAATAAATTGTAGCTATGTGTCGATTCCGCGCGACACGTCCGAACATGTAAGCCGAACAATAGTGTGGGGGGGAGTGAGTAATCGAGAGTTGCATGGCATTCAAACAAAAGACGAATCCACGAGATATGAAAATCGCGTAACTCCAGATTCGTGTAAGTCGAGGTATTACTGTATAATAATCATGATATTTTTTTCAAAAGCAATAAATATTCCTTTTATATCATTTGTAATATTTTGAAATAATGTTATTCAATTACTCTAACTCTAGCAGACTTCCACAAATATTTCCAACTAAAAATTGCCTGGCAAACTTATTTAACAATAAAAATTCAGTATAAATAATCCTACATCAAACACTGTTTCCAACAGCTGATGTGTCTTAACTGTATCACCGATACAAATGACAGAATATGTATAAACCATTACTACATATCTTTTTTTTTTTTTCTTTGACCAATAAGATTTCGAATAATATTTATAAATATGTCAACAGGAGTAATAATATAGATTTTCTAAAAAAGGTGGGTGTAGTATATAAACTGGAGTGTAATTGTCAGAACCCATATATGTATATAGAGGAAACTGGTCGTGTATTGGAGGTTAGGGTAAAAGAGCATGAAGCGGCCATTCGTTTAAAATATAATTCCCCATGGTATGAACATATAAAAAACAGTAATTGTAAAATCAATCGCAATAATATTAAAATTTTGCATTATGAAAAAGACATGTATAAATGAAAATTTAAAGAACATTTAGAAATAAAGAAAAACCAAAAAATAATTTAATAAATAGTTCTGAAGGTATGCTAATTGATTACCGTTGATATAAACTGATAGAGGGCATTACAGAGTTAAATTATTGTGATTGGTTAAAAGAAACATAGTATGGTTTTTACTTGGTTTTTTTTTGTAAGTTATAGATTGTAACTTGTGTATACCACCATATATTTTACCACAATAAGAATGTAGATTTTTATACACCATTATTAATTACTAATTTCTGCAAATTGCTATAAAGTTTTATTTTTAATGATAATGTTATCCTGTGGTATTAAACACTTCAATAGCTCTTTGAGCATGTACTGTACAATATATCTACTGAGTATTGATGTATAACATGTGTTGGTGTTACGGATGTGCTGTTCTCCCTTGCACAATTTTTATATACTTAAAAGTGTTAATATTTTTTCTGTTGGTATATTTGTCGTCATGTTCTGACAATTTTGTTATTATTATTTTTGAAATTAGCACTGAGGAGGGATTGGGATATATTGCACCAACCTGAAATGCATATGTAATTTTAATTTAAGAATAAAATTGTAGTTCCTAACCAAAAATCTGCTGAGAGTCCATCTACCATAATTTTTGGATTACAGAGACATTTTACATAAAGACCTAATATACAGCAATCCAATTATATTGTATTATTGTTATTACATATATTTTATGTTTTAGAGTTGAGTAAGTTTTGTAATATTTTGTAATACATTTGATGTATCAAATGTATTACAAAATATTTAAAATTATAAAGATAAAATTAAACTTTTGCATACAGATAGATTCCTTAATTTTAGAAATTTACATAGATGATATTTACAATGATTTTAAAAACAATCTTCTGAATATATTTGATTTTAGTAATTATCCTTCTACAACATCCATTAATAAAGAAAATAAAAACAAATTAGGTTTTTTTTAAAGACAAAGTAAAATTGTTAACAATATCAGAATTAAAAGCTAAAATGTATTCAATTTCTGAAGAGTGATACGAGAAAAAACGGCAAAAGGCATAAATAAATCGGTTGTTAAAAAAACTTTTTATGACGAGCTTTATAAATCTACTCCATTTAAAAATCAACAATATTGCCATAACCAAACTCAGATTATAAGTAAAAATCATGTAATCACAACCAAATTCAAAACATACAGTGTGTATACAGCATAGATAAATCCTAAAATAATGAGTAGCATATTCAGATTCGCGGCAGATAAGTCTATAGGTACAGACTGTTTTCTTTTAATATCTAAATAATTTTGTCGACAGATGGCACCGATCAGAAAATAATCTCATATATTAAAATATAAAATTTAAAAGTACAGTGGAACCCCAGTTAATGACCAAATCAATTAACAAACTTTTTTTGCAAAAATTTTCTCTCTAATAATGGACGAAATTCAGATAATGAATGTAACGGTTTTTGTGTCAAATTTTAGTTGCTGTTGTTGGCAAGCACGAGTTAAGCATTGCTTTTCCAAGTGTTTGTGCTAAACTTCTTTTTTCAGTTTTGTGATTTATATATTTAACCAATATGGCATCCAAGAAAGAGAAAAGTGATAGTGGCAATAGAAAACAACAATGCACTATTGCATTTGAGAAAAATTTTGATTAAGAGTAAGACAATCAACAATCAACTTTAGATCAATTTCTTGTTCCTTACCAAAAGAACCTTGACTAAAGAATCTCCCAATGAAGTGCTACCCATTATTTTTTTGGAGGGAATTTCCCTCCTAAGCATTACGCTCCATATATCTCTACTCCTCTGCTATCAAATACAGTGGTACCTCAGGATACGAAATTAATCCGCTCCGAAACTGAGATCGTATCATGAAAATGTCGTAAGGTGGATCATCTTTTCCCATACGATTACATGTAAAACCAAATAATTCGTTCCAACGCGAAAAACATACTCAAATTAAAGCCAAGTAATACATTAAAAAAAATAACTGTAGTAAGAAAAACAAATGAAAAATGCGAACTAATGTAACGTCGTATGGTGAGTTTTTGTTCGTATCGTGGAGCAAAAATATGTTCGAATTTCATGTCGTATCCTGAAAATTTCGTATGCTGGGGCGTTCGTAACCTGAGGTACCACTGTACAACAAATGAAGGTATGTACTGTACAGTGCTATTTTATTAAATAAAGTTTACATGTTCATTGCAGTAATGTTAGATACTGTTTTCCTACATTTTCAAAGAAAACCTACTGAATTTTACATATAAAATCACAAAAATTTCAGAGGCTAGAATGGATAAATTGCATTTGTAGATAATTATAAAATAAATGCAAATATAATTTTACTTACTATCATCAGAAAGTTCAGCATACACCTGTAAAAAACATTAATATTTTAAACATATATATACATTTTATTAAAAAAGAATCAAGCTATCCTATTTTACATTTTCAGATCTCTGTTCCTCACAGTTAATAAGACATGTGCTTGGAAGTCATCATTAACATTAAGTGCAATATAAGAAACAAAAAAAAAAAAAGCTACTTACTAGTAAACTCCTCTCTTGAAACTGGAAAAATAAAATTTCTTTTAATTTAATAATATAATTAGAATTTTTCATCTTTANAAGATATAGCCAAAAATTGCAGTGCCACAGCACTGGCAAAAATTTAATTTGCCGACTGGAATTCTTTCGGATAAACGATGCTCTACTGTATTTGTACTCTAGATTTTTTTTAAAATTAATATTTTTTTTCCCCTTAAAGATTTTAGACGAACTGTCTTATAAATCAACCCCGCTGTGTTAACACACTGAGTTGAATAATTCTTTTTTTAAATTACTATATTAGCATATGATTGCTTTCCAAGATTATACTTTTCCCATTGCTCCTGCATTTTTTACAATCCAAAGTCAAAAGAAACTTGACACGACCCACTTGATAACATTTGATTTATTAATACAGCTTTCCAAGGTTATCATTGTTTTGTTTTAACCTAAATCAGTGTTTCTCAACAGGGTGATCTCACCCCATGTAGGCATTTTTCCATATTGGGGGAGCGATTAGTAACAATTTTCATTTTGGGGGCAAAAAACAATTTTCTAGCCAATATAGTAAAACATTATATTAAGAATAATTAGATATTTTATTCGTTATATTGTACAATAATTAAATGAACATTATACTAGTGACTAGTGTATTCAATGCAATACGAATTTCAGCCCTCGGCATCAGTTTTGAAGCTTGCAGCGGGGATTCACAGCAAATAATGCTTAAATTTAATTTTGTTCATTATATCAAAATCTAATAGATATTCTGAGTAAATAAATATTTGATAATTATATACTTTGTAAAAATTTAAACTAATAAACCCAACAAAATTGTTTTTTGTAGTGAAAAAGGTGATACTATGTAAAGGTTTTATTGAAGGGGTGACAATTCGATAAGAGGTTGAGAAACACTGACCTACATCAAGTTTATTACTCCCATTTTATTATTACTATAATTATTAGCAAATGATACAAAGGCAAGAGGAGTAGACAAGAATCTTTAGTTTCATTAGTTAGTTCTTTATTGACTTTTCTCTCTCTCTCTCTCTACATCTTAATCAAAGCAAAAAAATGTCTAATCTCTCTAAATTTTTGTTTTTTAAATAAGAAAATTAAATTATTAATTTTTTCATAGTTATTCATCTTTTACAGATTCACAATCAATGTAATTGATAATCCATTCACTTCTAAAAAACGAAAATTGCCAAAAAACATACATAACATCAGAAGAAAAAAAAATTATTTAATTATTTTAAAAGACAAAGTCTTATAAATCAATCCCACCCATACTCAGTGTATATATCTCATGAATATAATTTAGAAATTAAAGAATTTCAACAACAGTATTATATATGCATTGCTAAAATGAATACAAAGGAGGAAATTCAAAACAGATTTAATACAAATATTGAATTTTTTAATAAACATATTTTCATAAAATTGTGGAAATTGTAAAAAAAAAAAAAATAAAAAGCAGAAATTAACACCCAGCAAGAGCTGCATGTAACTCAAAGAGCTGAATTTGCCCATGTCTGACATATACTTTAGACTGTTTTAAATTTTTTGAGTTATCACTTTTTAAATTCGTCCTGATCTAGTCTGACAATTTAGTAAATTTGCATTATGACTTTCTAATTTTTAATCAATTTTTTTTCCACATAATTGGTTTAATATTTCAAAAACTAAATAATAATTCTTTACCTGATAAAAAATGTTTTTATGATTTAACTAGAAGTTACATAAGTTCAAAGATTATGATTTAGCTCATCTTTTATGGAAAACTTTTAATTGTAGTAAATTTTCAGACTATTTGCAATTATATCAATTTGTTGATACAATTTTAGTTGCAGATATTTTAATGATAAATTATGAAAATTTGTAAAAGTATTACAATCTTGATCCATTTTTAAATTGTTCAAATCTTACATTTATTGCAGGATTAAAAATAGCTAAAATAAAACTAGAGCTATTTACTGATTTTTACCTGTTACCAGTACCTGTTTATCAAATTTGGTGTTCGAGGATTATCTTTAGTCAGCAAACATTCCTTACATATCTCATACTTATGATAATTCAAAACCTCATAGTTAAAGTGATGATTGATAGCAATACTCTATATGGATTGAGTGTGGTTCAATATCTCCCATATGGTGAATTTTGATGGTTACGACAAACCAAAATCAACAAATTTAATATTAAAAATGTTTCTTCAGAATCTGAAATAGAATACATACTTGAAGTAGATTTAGAATACCCTGTTTTGCTTCACCATTGACATAACGGTTTTCCCCTCGCAGTAAATCACTAAAAAATAGAATACGAAGATTTATCTGAATATCAGAAATAACTTTTATCTCCTTTAAATCTATATTTTAACAATAATATTAAAAAATTAGTTCCAACTAAGATAAATTACGTTGTATTAATTTGTCGATACAATTTAAACTTAAATTATTATCTAAAGGAACTGAAATAAACGAATGAATTATGCCAAGTGTTGATGATTACGCTGCATTGCAGTTTTGAAAAACAAATCTAAAGAAAGGTTTAATTTTTTAAAAAGTCTATAGAATACTTTCTTTTAAACAAGCACCTTACTTAAAACCATATATATTTTTTAATAGTGAAAAACGAAAACATAGCAAGTCAATTTGACAAAAAGTTTTTTAAATTAATGAACTATAGCTTCATGGAAAATGTATGCAAAACGTGTGTAAAAAATTAATTTAAAAGCTGGATTGAACAAAGATCAATGTAAACAATATCTAAACAATCCTGCACTAGAGGGTTTCCAAATAATCAACAGAGTGTAGTGTTTTTAGATTAAAGAGAACAAATTTATTATTGCAATAAACCATTACTACATAGAGACTACTTACTAAGAGCTTTTCTATTTATCATATCAAATACTCTGCCTGGAGTGCCAACAACAACATGCACACCCATTTCCAATTTACAAAGATCTTCTTGCACATTAGTTCCACCAATACAAGCATGACATTGGTCATTCATATAGTCTCCTAAAGCAATTACCACTTTTTGAATCTTAAAAAAAGAGGGGGAAAAAAGATATATATATATTACAATTTTAATGTTATGAGAACATTGTCATATCTTTGATTGAGAAAAAGTCAACTACATAAAATGACCCTTCTCACCCACAAAAAGATATATTTTTTTATTCTTCCTATGCGACAACCATAACTGTCCTTTATTGAGAGCATGGTGCTTTTGAGGAAGATGTGAGAAATAAAATTTATTAATACCTGTTGAGCCAATTCTCTTGTTGTAACTAATATTAAAGCTTGGCATTCTCTTAGGCTAGTGTCTATTTGTTGTAAAATAGCTACAGAGAAAGTAGCTGTCTTTCCAGTTCCAGACTGACTGAGCAATTACATTTAAACCTAGAGATTATAGTATTTACAATGAATTTTAATTTAACTATATTTCTAAAAATTACATTTTAATAATTATAGTAAAAAATATAATAAAATTTTCCAACATTTAAATTCACTGATATTTTGAAACAAATTTTAACAGTTCAAATAATAATTAATATTAACAGAAAAATGTCAGTAATCAGTTGAATTCATCCTCTCAAACATATTTCAACTATATTTTTATTCTTGAATTAATTAGCAGCAGTATCTCATTTTCTGTAAACTTGTTTTTTTATAAACCAAAAATTAATTATTATTTCACGCAACTGTTTTCATAAAATACTTTTAGATATGCCCAACAATGCCTGGGCAAAATGTAATAAGGACAAACATTAAAATGGAAACCATATTAAAAAAGTTTGTGACAAATGTAACAATGGGAAGCTAAAATATCCAAAGCATCAAGGAGATATAACAGGGAGGGTAATGATATATTATGGTAGCCTATATTTTCTACAGGCTCCTATAGAATAATTACAAAAAGTTTAGTGCAGACTGGTCAAAGCATTAATTGACAGACATTCTATTTTATATATTGTGTATATACAGTATAATTTTAGAAGCAAATAATTCTAAAACATAAATCAATAAATCTGAAGAAATTAAAAATTACAGTACAAGTAAATTTATAGTACAGTAATACCCCGAACTTACGCGATAGGTGGGACCGAGCGATAACCGCGTAAGTTGAATTCGCGTAAGTCGGGGTATAACTTTGCAATTTGTGTAAAATCCAAGTTGGATGTATGTAAGCTAATAAATGTTCTCGTTAATCTTATCTTGTCTTTTGATTCATTCGTGGTTACAAGAAATCACCACATATTGTCTCGAGTTTCCGTAGATATAACAAACACAGAAATAAATAACACAAAATAAATTGTAGCTATGTGTCGATTCCGCGCGACACGTCCGAACATGTAAGCCGAACAATAGTGTGGGGGGGAGTGAGTAATCGAGAGTTGCATGGCATTCAAACAAAAGACGAATCCACGAGATATGAAAATCGCGTAACTCCAGATTCGTGTAAGTCGAGGTATTACTGTATAATAATCATGATATTTTTTTCAAAAGCAATAAATATTCCTTTTATATCATTTGTAATATTTTGAAATAATGTTATTCAATTACTCTAACTCTAGCAGACTTCCACAAATATTTCCAACTAAAAATTGCCTGGCAAACTTATTTAACAATAAAAATTCAGTATAAATAATCCTACATCAAACACTGTTTCCAACAGCTGATGTGTCTTAACTGTATCACCGATACAAATGACAGAATATGTATAAACCATTACTACATATCTTTTTTTTTTTTTCTTTGACCAATAAGATTTCGAATAATATTTATAAATATGTCAACAGGAGTAATAATATAGATTTTCTAAAAAAGGTGGGTGTAGTATATAAACTGGAG